AAAAAAAAAAAAAAAAAAAAAAAAAAAAAAAAAAAAAAAAAAAAAAAAAAAAAAAAAAAAAAAAAAAAAAAAAAAAAAAAGTCAAAAGTCAAAGTCAAAAGTCAAAAGATGGAATGAAGAGCAGGCGAAGAACCTTGGGATTGAAATGGAGATCACCAGCTCTAATGTCGGCCACTCGGGACGACAATCAGATCGGAACAGTCCGACAATTGCATAAGAAAATGGAAAAATAAAAATAAAAAAATAATAAAAAATGTCTGACAATTTGTACAATATTTGATAATATGTTGTGTTCATGATTGATTGTTTGTTCCAAAGTTGAGTTGTCTCCCACTTACTTTTCTGCTTAACATGTTTTAATTTCCACATTATTAAAAATTAAATTAATCTTTATTTTATACTCACAAATCCCAACATATTTCAATTAATTAGACTTAATTATTTAAATCTCGTTATCTAATGAAATTAATTAGATTTAATTATTTAAATCTCGTTATCTAACTATACTAATATGGTTGCAATCTAATCTCAATAGACTAACTTAAATGATGTAATAATAGTTCGGTTACTAAGAACATTGAGTTAGGTGTAATCCAACCTGACTCAATTCGAATTATAAGGGTTGGGTTGGATTAAATTGAGTTTCGAGTTGGGCTGGATCCATTTTTTTTAACTCAAGGTTCGAGCTCAATGATTAGATCAACCCGACCCAATTCGAGAACCTTCAAAAAAAAAAAAAAAAAAAAAAAAAAAAAGCCCAGTGCCCACGCAATAGAACCNAGCCCAAAGACGGTTTGTCGTATGGTGTTCAACCATGCATCATTTGCATAGTAATTGTTCTCGCTTGTGCGTCATTTGATGAACCTACCTACCTTCGCTCTCCGCTCTTTAATCGTGAGTCCAAGATTTTGTCTCTCTGTCTCGAACTCTCAAATGGTAGGCAATGATCGAGTATACCTAGGTAATTAATTTAAACTTTCACCGGAATTTTCCATTAGAATGACCTGTTAAACTTGTGTTTATGTAATACTTTGGTGCCGTTAAAAGTCAAAGCTTATGGTCTCTCTTACATCAAGGCAACCATCTCTCGATGTTTAAGTTTGATGATTTCTAATCTCACTGAGACAATTTTAGAGAGGCTTGTTCTCGCTCTCAACGAACTTAATTGTTCAAAAAAATAGAAAAAAAAAAAATAGAAAAGTGAACGGAAAAAACAAAACTAAACATTCTAAATATATTTAAAAGTATGAGCCGAATAGCAAGCACGTGCTTGCACGTGCCCAATAAATTGTGGGAGCAAATGTTAAATAATAAAAAGATGAAAGGGTCATAGTCAAATAAAAGAAATTAGTCAGCAAAAAAAAAAAAAAAAAAAAAAAGATTCCTTAGTTTTATTTTCTTGTCTTTTTCTCTCTTTGACCACTCAATTAGCCCACAAATGGAAAGCCACGAGAATTAAAGGTTAAATTATAAATTTAATGTATGAACTTTAAAATTTATATACATTTTAATTTTAATTTTTTTTCATTAATAAATAAAAATGAATATGACCTAATTCTAAATAAAATATGAAATACATAACTTATTTACATAAAAGAAATGTTGCTATTAGTAATATATATTTTCTATTTGTGAAATATTGCTATCATTTTTTAAAAAAATTAATATACATTTATATATTTCAATGTAATCAACCCGAATCACGTCTACACGTGAAAGAGGAACACCTTTACAAGGAAGACGGGAAGACCTGTTATAATATAGAAAACTTCGATATTAGATGATCGACTCATAGATCACCCAGCTCACCATAAATTAGGGTACACAAGTGTGACAACCACCAGCACCCACGGTAGTATATACTAATGGAAGCCCTATAGTCCCTCGTTAGAGAGACTGTTACTAGGCGTCACGATCGTACTTTTTACACCGTGTGACATCATGATCTTCACAAAGCTCACGACAAGCCTTTTAACGAATCATGTAGAGACCGGATAGTGATAGAGTTAAGGTTATTCTCGTTTGAGACCATCACATGAAAATGTCTAAAATACCCTTGGGTGTTAAATCAAATGGACTATGAAAGCAAAAAAAATAAAGAAAAAGCAAATTCTTTCTTTCTCTTTCATTAATTTTCTTCACTTTAAGATATTAATATTTAATATAAAAAAAAGCCATTTTCTTTTCCATTATTTATACGTAAAGGCAATATTGCATGCCAATTTCAAGCATTATTGACTCTCTTTTTGTCTTCTTAATAATATTTCACCACATTTGACAACACCACCACTATTTCCCTTTTCAATCTTTCAATTAGTACATAGAAATGTTACTTTGCTTGCCAAAGTAACTTAGGGTTTCAGTCTCGGGTTTCCATTGAAATTAAATAATTTCATCATCGTTTAAAATTATTTCAATATTTTAAAATGAACCGTCATCAATTTAGATCCGACTCTACCCAACTTTGCTGGTTTACTCGAGCATTCTCCACTTGTCCGACTGTTGCTGAGCAATTTTTTGATATCAAGTGGACCTCCCTAGAAGGTAATTTTAATGTGGCCGATTTCCCCTCTTTTACCATCAGTTTCGCTTCTTATTGGTGCTGCTAGGAAATCCACATAGATAGGATTGCATACTTGGTCACCTGATGTTATGGAGCGGCCCACTCCATTATCCGCTTCGATTCATGCAGGCTACTATGGTAACAACTGGCGTTTTCATGATAGCAAGGTGCTCCCCTTTATTTGAATACCCACCTACGGCTTTGATTGTTATTATTTATGTAGAGCTACGACGTCATTCCTTGCAGCAACTACTAGAATATTACAGAATGATCTAAAGAGGGTCATACCTTATTTAACTTGTTATTATAATTGAGAAAAAATAAAATGACGGGGAACAATTTCGTTTCAAATTACGAAAATCACAAAATTTCGTCTTATTATGACGATTCGTCTCGTTAAAATTTTAATTTTAAATTTCATATTTGAAAGAATTAATATTGAAAAATTAATTTGTGAGTGAAAGATTTTTTTTTATAATAAATACAAAAAAAATTAATAAGAAAATTATAAAATTGAAAAAAGTTTAGAGTTTGATTAGATAAGAATTTAAATATATATTAATTAATTTTTAAAATTTTAAAATTCATTAGAGGAGACTCCTCAACATAAATTTAAAAGGCGAGGGACCAATAGGCAATTTCAAAAGTTGGAAGGACCAAATAGGCAATTTCAAAACTTGAGGAAGAAAATAAACCCAAAGTATTAATTCACGTAGCACTATAAGCCGCTTTTTCAGTTAAAGCTGAAATTTAGTTCAGAAGGTGGGACGTCACGAGGAGGGAGAGGCGGAAGCGAAAACAAGAAGCTTACGGCGGGAAAAAGAAACAGAGCAAAGAACCGCAGAGCAAACCTCCGTAAAAGCAATCTCTCTCTCTCTCTCTCTCTTTCTCTTGTTCTTTATAATTCATCTCCTAAAATGCTTAAACAAATTTTCAGATTCTCTCTCTGCTTCCTTTCTTCGTTCCGGAGAGATTTTATGCAGAATTTTTGCGGAGGAAGGAGGCGGAAGATAGACCTTCTGCACTAACATTTTCAATCTCTTCAATCTTCTGATCTCGACTTCGGTAACCGACTCCGTTGCAGGTATGTATGTTCTTCATCTTTTTCCTCCAGCATTTGCTTCTTTCTTCTTCTTTGGATAGTTCGTTTAACTGTTTAAGCTTTGTTTTCTGACGAGGTAACTGCTGATTATTATATGCTTGATAACTGTGCGCTCTGAAATGTGTCCTCGGATTGAGTGTGAATTTGTTGTGGTGATGGATCGTTTTAATTTATATGCTTTATTACCGTTCGCTCTGAATTGTGTGTTCGGATTGACTGCGAATGTATTGTGGTGATGGATCGTTTTAGTTTATATGCTCGATAAATGTTTGTTCTGAACTGTGTAATAGGATTGAGTGCGAATTTGTTGTGGTGATGAATCGTTTTAGTTTATATGCTTTGTAACTGTTCGCTGTATTCGGATTGAGTGCGAATGTGTTGCGGTGATGGATCGTTTTAGTTGATATGTTTTATTACTGTTCGCTCTTAAATGTGTATTCGGATTGACTCCAATATTGTGGTGTTGGATCGTTTTAGTATTTGCAATTGAAATTTTGGTATCTGAATCGTGTATTTGAAATTGAATCGGAACTAATTCTTACCGATGCTGCATTTCTTCGTCAAGTTGGTTTCCTCTGTGAGAAGTTTAGTTATTCTCCTTTCTTTCTTTACTCTCCGTTGCCGGCCAACGAAAAGGTTCTTCGGTAGATATTTCTTTCTATCCTATTTAGTCGTCCTTCCTGTTCAGTCTGAATAAAGAAAAAGGTTCTTAGGCGATCGGATCTATGTTTATCACAATCAGATAACGATGTACGGTCACAGTTCGTAAGAAGTTCTTATCCTGAAAAATGTTAAGATCGCCTTTCCGGAGACTAACTTGATCGAGATATATATTTGAAGTAAAGCAATGGCATCCGTAGGGAAACCGAGGAACGAAGAATCATTTTGCTTCAAATTTGGTCTTCTGCGGTGCCTGCTTTTCCATGTCTGTACAGTACTGCGTAGAGAAACTTGCCTTGGATCCTAGAGCCGAGCCCACACAGATGCAATTACCCAGCTGACAGTTAAAGTATTCATGCTTATTTTATTGTAGCCTTAATTTAAGTTCAATCCGGGGGTATAATCGTCAGAGAAGGAGTTGGGTAGAAGTTATTCCCCTGCAGCGGACTTACACTCCAAGAAATAGTCTCTTTTGTATCCATTGTCCAAACTTGATGATGATTGTCGCACGTATCCCGACGAACCTGCTTTTCTGGAATATGGAGTTGAAATTTCGGGTTTCTGGCTGATCGCAGAAAGGCGCATGTGACATGTATTTATTAATTAATTTCGTTTTAGATAGGAGTCTGGCAGCGGCACAGGATCGCTGTTGAAACTTGAAATTAAATCAAACCATCTAACATGTCTTTGATGGTGTTGATTTGATCCATCACAAACTGAATAGATTTAACATGACAGATCTCGAGAACGAAAAAGGATATAAGGCACGCAGTAATAAGTTAATTTCATAATATCCTATTCCATATCTCAAACTGTAATTTTCAATTTTTCAACCCCTCACAATTTTAGTTTCTACGCTTAGTCATTGTGATTCCTTAAACTCTTTGTAATTGTTCCAGGGGAGATAAGCAAGCAGGGCTGAAACCCAGTTTGATTACACTATTCAACAAGAAATGGACGAAATGTAGCTTGTCTTAAGTAGACATGGAGACTAGCAGCGGAGGAAGCTCCGATGAGGGTCGCCGCATATTCAAGGTTGATACATGGTGTAGCCAATTTCGCAATGGGTCCAATCCTTGGATGGCAAGATATATTTATGCTTTAATGTTTCTAATTGCTAATTTGTTGGCTTGGGCTGTCCGGGATTATGGCCGTGGCGCTTTGACGGAGATGGAAAGTAAGACTTCTTCCTTCCCAACCATTTATTGATTATTAAACTCAGATATGTGTTCACGTATTTCTGACTGATACTACTATTTCCTTTGTTTTCTGTTCAGCCAAACCGACTCTGCTTTATATTGATTAAATGCAGCTTCATGTCCACTAAATGAAACATATATCTTTCAGATATCATTTAATGCCATTTTCATCTATTGAACATGTTTAAAAGTAACAAGGGAGGGAAAGGATCGTTTGTTTGATTGCTATCCTTAGTAGTACTGATTCGAATTATCACTGCTCTTGCAATATTCTTTGTGAAACTAATGATATGTACTTTAGTTTTCTGCATAATATTTGCATTTATAGACATATATTCGAAGCGTTGGAAAAGAAACTCTTAATAGTTAGCCTGTGGACTAGATTCTCGGCAATGCATTGCATTTCAAACTTTTATACATGGCATTATCTTCTACAACTAATTGTTGAAATCTAACACGTGTTGAGAATGGACATAGGATTAAAAGGATGTCACGGGGCGCGTGATTGTCTAGGTGCTGAAGGTGTTCTTCGTGTAAGCTTGGGTTGCTTTGTATCCTACAGATATTTGAAGTCGTTACAGAATATCGACTTCACTGAGTCAGCTCTGTCTTTGAGTTATAATTTAATTTCAAGATAAGATCAATATCTAGTCCTTAACGTCAATTGTAGATATTTTATTTCACCATGTTTCTTTCTACAACTGGCACTTCAAAGATGCGAGAACGCAGAAGTGCTTGGCATTCTGGATGGTGGTCTGCGAAGATTATCCTATGGATTGCCTTCACAATCATTCCCTTTGTGCTTCCTGCCACCGTTATTCGGCTATATGGTTAGTCCTCCCCACCATTTCCCCCCAAAAAAGAGTTCAAATTAACCTAAAAAATCTGATGCCTATTTTTTGCAGGGGACGTTGCACATTTTGGAGCCGGGTACTTCCTTTTTCTTCGATGTACATTACTTCAAAGTTTACCCAACCTTTCAAATTTTGTTTCAGAAAGCTGGTGTAATATATTTTGAATTTAACAAGTATATTTCAATTGCTTTAAATGACGTTTACAGTATTCACCATTTTCAGGGTATTTCTTCTGATTCAGCTTGTAAGCGTGATAAGCTTTATAACATGGTTGAATGATTGTTGTCAGTCCGACAAGGCTGCAGACAGATGGTAAGCTACGCTACCTCATTCATTGTAAAAGGAAAATTACAGTTATGACTTTGCTCTGAAGTACTCAACAATTTGGAGTACTTTTTGCAGGTCTGAATTGTTTTTTACAGGAAAAAATGAACATGTCTATATATATTCAAATAAAAGAAGAATCTTGAAAATTTTAATTGAAGATACTATACGACAGTCAAATTTAATTCTTGACATTTTGACTAATTTTTGGGGGCATAATTTCGTTTTCATGCCCCTATCACTTGGAAAGCACAACAACATCAGATTTGCTTCTTATAGCCTGAACTGATGTTTGTGTTTTTATAACCAAGACTGGTCTATTGAAGATTCAGTGAATATGAGAAATGATATAGATGACATTACTTTTCTTGCAGTCAAATACACATCATGTTACTTGCAACAATGGCATATGTCATCTGTTTAGTTGGGATCATTTCGATGTACATTTGGTATGTGCCTCAGCCGACTTGTCTTCTCAATATTTTTTTTATTACGTGGACATTGGTACTACTTCAACTCATGACCAGTGTTTCTCTCCATCCAAAAGTAAGTTCTAATTTCGATTTTACACATCCATTCTCAGACTTCTCTTTAACCGAATGATTTGATGTATGACTGCTAACTGAGACCACAACAGGTGAATGCTGGCATCTTGACTCCGGGTTTGATGGGGCTCTATATAGTATTTATCTGCTGGTGTGCCATTCGGAGGTATGATGATCTTCTTTTATCCCCCATCTCTCAATGTCATCATAAGGGTCAGTTTAGTAGTTATGTATGTATTCAATAATTTATGGATAGAGATTCGAATATCTAATCTTTAAGACATAAGTACTTCAATCGAACTATCCTCCGATTGATACCTAAATGAAACTCAAAGAGTTTGAAATAATTAGAAGTAGGTAGAGATTTGTACCTTTGATATATAGGACAAATGTGTAACAATTGAATTGAATTATATACTCTAATTATTGAATACTCGAGCTGAACTATGCTCTGATCAATGTAAGCTCTAAGTTTGAAATAATTTTTTATAATGGTTTTAGGAATTTTGAGAATGCTTCTAACTTGGACTATTAACTTGCAGTGAACCAGGAGGAGGTAAATGTATCAGAAACGCAGAGACTTCAACCAAAACCGATTGGCTTACCATTATAGTAAGACTTTTCATTTTCCTTCAATCAATTTCTAGCTCTGAATCACATTCCTAAGGAAGCAAAAATAGGCATATAAGAATCTGTTTGTAAATTACTTCCAAAAATACTTTAGTTTTCCAAGATTTAATTCCATTTTTGATTTGGTATAAAAGTTTTTACTAAAACACAGTAGACAGAAAATTAAGTCCAAATAACATAAATATTTTTTTATTTTTCTATTTTTGTGATATGATTCTATTTTTCTCCACCTCTTACACAAGTTTCAACAATCATAACGCGTGTGACAGAGCTTTATCGTTGCTGTACTCGCAATGGTTATAGCAACATTCTCCACCGGAATAGACTCCAAATGCTTCCAGGTGCGTTCTCCACTCTTAAAAAGCTTTATTTCATCATCATCATTAATTCCCTCCATGAAAAAAGAAATGTTAATTGATAAAAGCTGCAGTTCAGGAAGGATGACAATCAGGACGAGGAAGATGATGTCCCTTATGGCTATGGTTTTTTCCACTTGGTTTTTGCCACCGGAGCAATGTACTTTGCAATGCTTTTGATTGGTTGGAATACGCATCATCCCATTAGAAAGTACGTCTCCTCCACTTCACAACTTTTTTTTTTTGTCCATTAATTCATGGATTTTTTTATATATAATATATATAATTTAAGCTAAATTAATATATATATATGAAAGATAAAAATTGAAATTTGAAACCGTAGGTGGAATGAAATTTAAGTCAGGTAGACTGCCACGACTCACATACATGTTTTAAGTTTTAATTTCCATCTAAAATTTTATGAGATTTTTATTTTAATTTTGAAACATTTATAAAAAGAGTATTGAACAAGAAAAAAAAATACCATTTAAATTTTTTTTTACTTCCTAAGAAAAGAAATTCATATAAATCCCCTTGCAACATTAGGAAATTTCTTGATAAAAAAAAATATATTTTTATTTGAATATATATATATATATATATAATGATAATTTTTGTTAATAAATTTACATTACATTATTCAATTATTTATTATTTATATAATAATAAATTTTTATAATATAAAAATTATTATTTAAATAATAAAAATTATAAACTAACTTCTACTCCACTTTTTTAGGAGTAATTTATATTTTAAAAAGGTTATAGATATTTTTTAACAGATGATTTTTTTTTCTTTTACTTTTTGATAATTTATCATATATTTTAATAACATGTCTTAATCTGAAAAAAAAAAAAAAAAAATCCTTGTTTCAAGAAATGATTTTATACAAACACGTGAAAATTAACAATAAACTTCTACAAAATCCACTTGCAAAAAGTCACCTCTTCGTCTTTTGATGCTATTATGACAAAGGCCGACTTAATGGCAACCAAATCTTGCTGCTTTTAGAACACAAGCAGTTCACTTGAGGAATCGGAATTTATTAAGTTCAATGTCTTTATCGTCGTTTGCATTATTAATAACCAAGCTTTTAGATGCCACTAAATGTTGTCTCTTTGCTCCTTGTGACTTCAGAATCCACCAAATATTTATTCTTTAAATAGTTAATGCACTCGTCGACTCAGATTCCAACTAGCCCATTAAACTTATGACTGACTTTTTGTTAAAGAATAAGTTGGGTTTGATTTGGTTTGATGATCAGTTTTGAACTCTGCAGGTGGACAATTGATGTCGGGTGGACAAGCACTTGGGTTAGGATTGTTAATGAATGGCTTGCTGTCTGTGTTTACTGTAAGTTTCTTTTCTGATGCCCTTTGTGGTTTTTGCGTCTCGTTTTTTAAAATTGTCTTTTTCTTTTGAAAACCATGTTTTTGTTTGTTAATCTATGTTTTTAAATTTTTAAATTTGCTTTTTCAAAGCTAAAATAGCTAAGTGTTTTATTATTTTTTTAAAAAAACTATTTTTCAAAAAAAAAATTGAAGCTCTAGTTTTCAAAATTGACTTAAAGATCTATTTTACAATTCACTATTTCTCCCCAACATATCTTTATGTCTATTTTTCTATTTTGCTCATTTTGCAATTTTACTTTGAAAAAGATGTTTGATTTTCTCTGTTTTTTGTTTTTGACATTGTAAAATCTTATTTTTCGGGAGAAAAAAAATGATTGCCTATATTTTCTTTATTAAAAAATGTTAGAAAGCTAGTGGAGAAAAATACACATTTTATTTTTATAATAAAATTATCTTTTCGTAGTTGTGTTTCAAATTTTTACAATTTAAACAACTGTCTGTAAGAAAAATACATATTTTATTTTTATAATAAAATCATCTTTTCATAGTTGTATAAAAAAAAATAAGGAAATTTCTAATACATTAACGCTCTTTGATCTATTTTTCAAAAACTGAAAACTTAAAAGGTAGTATATCAAATGCGTTTGGTATAACAAAATGGAAAACCAGAAAAGCTTTAAAACAAAGAAAAAAAGGGAGAAAAAAAAGACCCTTCTGTTTTTCTAGTCTCAGTTTTAAAATCGACATTTGAAAACTGAAACCCATCTTTAAATCTATTTTAAAACACCCCGAAGAAGTTGTGAATTAATTCTATTTGTTCTTGTAGTATGGATGCTGGTGGCTCCAGTGATATGGAAGAACAGGCAGATGGTAGTTGGAGCTGTTTGATGATATGACAAAACCGACCCTCAAAAACATTTACACCATCTCTATTCAAATTTCTTGCCCACAAAATTCAAAATACATCTAATTTCCATAAGCCCCTATTTTTTTTATTTTGTTTTGATGACCGGAGAAAGGGAATATATATATGTATTTGTAGTGCCCTTAAACATTACCTCATTTTGTAAATATATAGTAGTTTATTAAACCTCATTAACCGACGGGCCCAACCTATTATAAAATCAGAAGATTCTAGAATATAAATAAAAGTAAATAAAATTAGCGTAGAAAAATGTATATAAGAAAATTAATCAAATATACTTAAAAACATTTTCTGAAATGGTTGAGGTAAGAGAGAGATCATACATGAATTTCAACAGATGAACCGTCGCTGCAAAGCCTGCAATTTGATCTGTGTCTGCTACAACAGCTTATATATATCATAAACTCACAACAATGAACAAATTATGTGATTAACAAAATAAAAACCAAATAACCCGATCGAAAGAAACTCTTACTAACACCTAAAATTACCATCGTAGCCTAGAGAAATAGTGTGGGCCTCTCCATTGATGCAAATCTGGGTTGAACTTGAGCCTCTTATATTTTCTGACTCCACTCTCTTTCCTTCTTTCTCTCTTAAGATCGATCTCCCCCTTCGGACATCAAACAAAATGTACAGTGCCAATAAAGATAATTTTGACTCTCTTTTATCTCACTGATTAACAGAATATATATATATATATATATATATATATATATATATATATGTATATATGTGTGACAAGAGCATTGCAATGAATACCAAAACTTTTTTCACCGAGGGATTTGTTGGCGACCAATTTAGACAATGTCAGGGCTATTCCATTCTCCCACTAGCCAAATGGGTTACCTCCGGTGGTGGATGAGAAAGGGTTCGGAGTAGAGGGTGTTGAGAATCTAACGGCTGTCTGCTGGCCCATATCTGTGTACATATGAGCGGCTCCCTCGTGACCGTAGTTGCTAAGTCCTGGATGCCTGAAACATATGGCAAAAACTCATTTGGTATTTGCAAGTGCAGTCCCACTCGATAAGTATTTGGTTTTTGTTTTTGAAAATCGTGCTTATTTTCACCCAATTTCGTTACCATAGTTTTTGCCTTTCCTAAGAAAACATTCAACTTAAACTCCAAAAACAAAAACATGTTTTTAAAAACTATGTTTAGGTTTCAAAACTAAAAGCGGATATGATGCCAAAACAAAGAATATTCATAGGTGGAAGTATTGGTTATTAGCTTAATTTTCAAACATCAAAAAACAAAAAATCAAATGGTTACCAAACAGATGTAAAGTATTTTTATCATGCAATAGATTTTCCTATCAAGTATGCATAAATTATGAAAAGAAAACAGCAAATTACCTATAAGGTTGGGCTACTTGCTGTCCCATATAAGGCGGCCCTAAGATATCAAAGCAGAATTTTAGAACATCAACCATTGTAGATGTTAAATGCGTACATGCTAAAAAGGACGAGATCATTTTACCTGAAGGCATTGTAGATGGATGTGGCGCCTGGGGAGGCAACTGCGGGTGCAGTAAGTTAGATGGTGGCTGGTGTGGCATCCATGTTGATGTGGGATGATTACCGTAGCCGGGAGTAGTTGTTAAATTTGATGCAGGTTGCCCAGGATTTGGCAATGGTGCCATGGAAGGAAACTGCATAAAAAGTGAATGCAGGTCCGTGTAAAATTGTTGAAGAAAATAAAGAACAAGATGCATACTTTAATATCGATTTGATACTAAATTAACAAGTGAATAAACCAAGAAAAATCTAGCATACTTCAATTTATTAACTAATAAAAATTAAAGTTAACAGAAGCAAGTATGGAAGTTTAACAAAACAGTAGGCATGAATTTAAGGTACTAGAATTTTAAAGTGTGAATTCATGCACAAGGAGCAGATCAATATTCTAACCCAGTTGTGACAAGATTACACAGCCAACTTTATAAATTAAAGAAGGCCAAATGTAAAAATTAACATCAACATACCTGAGATTGTTCGGGGCTGAGATCGAATGGATTTGTAGACGTTGAAGATTGAGGAAAACTTGGGACGGGCTGTAAAAGTGTATGAAGTTTAGAGACACAAATGTTCGTGGATATCGTTATGAAAATACCCAAAAGGAAAAAACCAAACTCAATAGTAGGCAGAAAGAATACCGTTGCAGAATTATACGGCATTGCATATACCATGTGGTGTGGCGGAACAGTATGCCACCCTGGAACTGGTGCAGGGTAGGATGAGTAATTAAACGCAAAAAGATCCTGCAGATGATTGGAAACTTGTCAGTTGTAATAAAATGCAGGGAGATGAACACAAGCCAAAGATAATTACTTAATGGGACACCAAAGATAAGGGGAGAAAAGTAATTACGGCTGGCAATTCTTTTCTCCCGCTTGGCTTTACTTCGGGTGCAGAAGTTTGTGGTACACCAGAAGCTATAGCCTGCGGAGGAGTCGAAAAATCTTGGGGTGTGTGTGCTGCTGGATTACTTGGAGGTCCTTGGGAGTTAACGGAGAGTGAAGGATTCCATGGCTACAAGAAATCACCAGAAGAAATAAGACGAATAAAGTTTGTTTTAAACAAAATACCATCGAAAAATAGAAAGGCAAGCAAGTCTTCAACAACCGAACCATGTGATTGATGGATCTGTCTATTGATGGTGGAAACTGTTGACCCACAGACTGAGAATTACCACCAGGAAATAAAGAATGTGTCTGTGGCTGCATATTAGACCATTGCCCTGCACCAGAAAATATGAAAAGCATTTTTAGCAATATGGACTAATAACATAAGTACAATTAAGGGCCAGCTGCTGAAGCACCTGATGGAGGAAATGTTGACAAGCCAGCCCCTGGTGCAACTGAAGGTGCTCCGCCAGCAAAGGGAAGAGGCATATGAATGTTCCCTCCTGATCCAAAAGAGGGAGAAAAACCAGTTGGTAACATTGTCATGTTGCCTACCGGTGCAGTCGGTACAGCACCAGTAGCAGCATGTGATCCTGAAACTGACAATTGGGAAAGTACAGACTCTAATGTGCCAACATTAGCAGGAGCAGGAGGTGCCTGAGGGGCAACATCAAATGAGGCCCAATTGTTGTCGCTTTTAGAGTTCGCTGTGTGTGTTACAGATTGTGGAGCAGAACTTTGTGGTGGCTGTGGAACTGCTGAAGTAATAGGTTCAGGCTCTGCATCAAAATCAATTAAACTTCCAGAAGGTTCCAATTTAGTTTCAACGACATTCTCACTGATAGACCCTAAGCTACTGGAAGAAGCGGTTCTCTGAAATTTAAATAATAAATGGTGTCAGTTCACATACAATTTACTCCAGAAACAATGGGAGAGAACAATAGTAAACGCAATGGAAAATAATAATTACTAACAATCACTAAAAGATGGAATGGCAGTTGATGTGTTAACATCCACAGGTTCACAAGTAGCATGTTACAAAAGCTCGCAACAAATAGCACAATATTATGAGGGAATGGCAAAAAAGAGAGGCAGAGTAAGGCACAGATCAAAATCCTGAAATTGATAATGAGGATCCATAGTTGCTGCATGTGAAGGTTTCTCACGTGAAAACCCTATCATGTGATGATATATATAAATCAATTTCACAAGAGGAGCTAACTAAAACTAGTTCCATGGGAATTGAGTACTGAGCATAAATATCTAAATCATTCCACCTACTCTTATAATATGGTAAACTTAAATCTCCCACATTTTATTTACAACCTGGTAATATTTGTTACAATGAAGTCCAAAACGTCTAATTAGGTAGATATATAAACTTTACACCAGTCATAGAAAAGGCTCTCACTGAGATAACAAGAAACAGACCAAATGATATCAATATTAAACCCAGCAGCTCAAATAAATGGACAGATACCAGTCCTCAGAAGGACGAAAGGTTATGACAATGGAATTAATGGAAAATATCATGCAGATAAACATAAATAAAAGGGGAAAGGGTAAAATGATAAGAATATCAATCTGAAACATATATATAATTGCAATGAATATAAAAGTTTGTGAAAGAAAATCTCACCTGCTTATGCACCGAGCTATCAGCAACCTTGCTAGTACCACTACTTTTTGGTGGTTCAATTACACGTAGTGGGGATATGTTCGCCCCCAAAATATCCCTAACAGGTCGCACCATGGGGGGACTGGAAGCATCCAGGTCATTTGGTCGCTCAGGTGACCTGCCTCCAATTTTTGAGTCTCCATCAGATAATCTTCCATCTTCTACTTTTTTACCATTTCCAAACCTATCTTCTCGACGCCAATCACTTACAACCTCAGGACGAGCAGGACTTCTCCGAAAATCACCAAACTGCCGATTTTCATGATCAGACCCTGGACTTCTTCTCTCATCAAAGTTTCTTCCCCCAGGACTAGACTTTTCATTGTAACGGCGGTCTTCATATGGTGGGCTTCTAGAACCACCTTGATACGTATCTGTTCTCCTGGCTTCATAAAAGTCCTCTTTCTCACCCTGTATAAGATCACAGATGAATTCTGTTAAGATTACTTTGTGTGTAGAATCATAATAAAATAATAACATTCAAACAATGAAGTGATAAAAGTTACTGCGTTCAACTTCAGATATATCTCAGAGAAATTAGAAAATAAGGTTTGAGGCACCTCACCGATTTCCCCCTAGGTGGCTTGTCAAAATTTTTATCGCCACTATATCTTCTGTCCACATAAACATGCTTGATAAAGTCTCTGAGTCTCATAACGTTACTGGAAGGAAAAGTTTCTCTCAGAACGACATCCATTTGGACTAACATAATAGTATAGCATTAAAAATAATAAAGATAATAATAAAAAAGTAAAATAAAATGACCTGCTGTCAGGAAAAGAATGACGTTGTGGATCCAACTCTTTAAAGTAAATTTCCTTTGCACGCTTTGAAATTGAAAATAGAAAAAAAAAAAAAAAAAAAAAAAAAAAAAAAAAAAAAAAAAA